AATATGAACCGGACAAATCACATGCCATTTGACCATTTCAATTCAGATTTTCTTTCTCCCACCTGAATGGGATCTGCACTCTGATCTGAGAAAGACCATCAGGAGCTCAGCACTTAGGGAAATGAAGCCAGCTCTCATCTGTCTGCAGTCAAAAAATCTGACCTCTGACACTCTGATGGTATAGGCTGCATTGTCAAAGGACACGTCACTATCAAATCTATTATGCCCATGTTTTCTCAAAGGAAGGGTAAGGGTGTGTGACATGAAGACTAGACACAGACCATAGCACACACAATTCTTTGACAATTGAGAGTCTTAAAGGCCCAGTGTGTAATGTTTAGGAGGATCTATTAGCAGAAATAGAATATATTATTCATAGGAATCTTTTCATTTGTGTATAATCACCTGAGAACAAGAATCATGTTTTTGTTACCTTCGAATGCACTTTTTCTTCAGAGGGAGTGGGTCCTCTTCTACAGAGTCCGCCATGTCAGACAAACCAAATGGGAGCCACAATGGCTCTAAATAGGGCCTTTCACAGCTTTTGTGGCAAAACTATGAGAGAACATAAGTTTTAATAAACTCAACTTACTCAAATGAAATTCCAAAATAAAATATGTTGTTTCAAAACTTTTTTAGTATCAAGTGACATTTATACATATACATGTATACATTTACCAATGCAGCCTCCTATATATGTTATAACATTTACAATAAAGCATTTGGAGAAAAAATAAATAAAAACGCTTAACATTAGACCAAAAGTTTAAAAAAATACAGTGTATAAATGCTTTGGTCATTAAGTAAAGCAGCAGCTGTATATTAGCTGCTCATCCTGTGGTGGGAAGGGTGCTTGCTTCTCTGCCCTGTGTCACCACCCTCATTAAAGTGGCACAGTGCAGCCCCCCTTAGACAATCAAGCCTGCCCTAACACACACGCCACCTATAAATCACCTTGTGAAAATCAATGGGCTTTAGTTAGCCTGGGACTCATTGTGTCCTTGGAAAGGTGTGAGATGAATTGAGATGAAGTGAGAACAAAACAGGAACAACATCCACCAAAAGAAGAGAAAAACACCAAGCAGTGGAGCAATGACTATAGTTTGACTGAGTTTTAGGGTGGGGGTGATGGTTGGTCAAAGCTGACACATATTGCAACAGAAGGCCACAGAGGATGAGTCAGGTTGCCATTGCTTTAGATTCTCTCTGAGATGGATGGAGGTCTTAAACTAAGGCTACCAAATTGAATTTTCTTTTCTTTCGTGAAACTTTTCAAACCCTGCCCTCTACATCCACACAACTTTCTGCTGATTAAACCTGAAAAAGCAGCCTTAGGCTCCATTTCCAATTAGTGAATTAAGCAACTTAAAACATATCTTATACATCTGTGTGGTGCACTCAATGCTATCTTAGTTAAAGATGCAATTGGAAATGATAAACATGCATATCCTAATACCTTTTAATTATCATAATATCAAGTAAAAGCAGTTTGACATAACCCAATATAAAGAATAAAAATAGTTCTGACAATGAAGCAGTATCTCCACAGGCAGCCATTCAAATCACACAGATAGATCAAGATAAATTCAGAAAGCTCACAGTAACACGGCCTCAGTGTTACTGTGAGCTTTCTGAATTCATCTTGGGCATTTAAAGCTACAGTGACTGCAGTGCTCTTCATATATACTCTACCTAGAGTGCCTGAAATCTATTTTGACCATTGAATTTCATCTATGTCCCTGACAGGACAGTTGGTTCTGAGAACAAAACAGCCATAACAGAGGTCAGAGTCGGTGTGGATTTAACAAGCAGACACTTCAGTAGCATTCATTTGTCGCTGACATTTGACATATAGTCTTCTTGCCAGAAACATGAACAAGGAAATGTTAAGATGCTAACTTGCATATGTTGTGCAATTAGCATAAATTTCCACTCCCAATTCCCAATATGCTTAATGAATTTGACTTGCATTTTAGAATGAAGAAAGCTCAATTTCATGTATATGTTCAATCTTTTTATAACAATAAGATGTTTCTTCAGTTCTGCTTGAGTTTCTTTGCTGTGCAACATTGTGTCATTGCCACTGTAGTTACTGCTGTGGGCTGAATAATGGCCACATGGTAAGACAGAAGAAACATCGCTTTTTACATAAGGTTTATCGTCTCAATACAAGTAAGTTGATAAAAAATAAAGTAAATAAAGAAAAAAGAAAGACAAACTTAGCCAACAGTAATTAAAAAATCAACAGTTAATGTTACCACATTGGTTATGCAAATTAATGATAATTATGCTAATTGATGACCAACATAGCAAGCAACAATAGCAAGTTAGCAGTTTCTATATCCTGGGAATCCATACTTAACATTTGTAATGACAATGGGTTCACAATGGGGCTGTATTGGCTGGCAAATAGACTAATAGGATTCATTTGGATAAAATAAACCAAAATAAGTCAAGATTTGCTTCATAATAAAAACAACACTCTTACTTAAATGGTAAATGGACTGCACTTAAACAGTGCCTTTCTAGTCTTGCGACCACTCAAGGCGCTGTACACTACATGCTACATTCACCCATTCATACAGATATGACAAAGGCCATCAGAAATGGAAAGTAATTCATTCATAAACATTAATGTTGTGCCCTTAAATAAGGGAAATAGTAATGGAAGAAGAATTAAGAAATTACATAAATAACATAAAATAACATTTTAAAAACAATGCATACAAACACACACTCAGTTTCAGGACAACAGATACCATGTGTCTTTATAACTTTTCAAAATGATTGTTTTAACTAACTACATGACATTTAAAAATATATTTTAACAAGGCTATAACATTTTTTTTATCATATGCTAGCTAACTAATGGATTTTCACTCTCTGTTGCTAAGAGCTGAAGAGTGATTGACGGGGTACTGTCTTGATATTATTGGTTGAGATTGGTTAGTTATATACAAAGAAACTGAGTTTTTGTCGATCTTTTGGCATACACTGTTAAATAGGGGTAAAATATAGCTGAGGATGCAATCTTAAAGGGTTAAAATGACATTACAGCAAGTTGCATCCAAAGCCCAAACATGACTGTAGACACAGCATACAATTTTGGCTTATGGCTTTATGACTTATACTGTACTGTATTTTTTTTATCTGAAATGAACAAAACAAGTGAGAACATTGTGATTGTTTTATTTGAAACCTTCAATACAGAGAGCCTGTGATAAAAGCATGACATGAAGCATTTTTATTTTATTTTTTTAAATTGATTACATTCATTTTTGATACAGGGTGAAATGTGATAGACAACTTGGTAAAGCTTTGTAAAACAACTAAACAAATATAAAGTGGAAATGGAGATACATTGTAGTACAAACAGAGATGGATGCTCTCAGAGATGGAATGATCACAAATGACCCTTTCTAAGTCCGACCCACAGTTTGCTCTGTGCCCCAATTTAGTTTGGTTGGTTAAGTTTAGGCATGAAGGGTGAGATTGGTTAGGGTTCGGGTATGAATGTAATGGTAAGCCAATAAGAGGCAGAGTAGGGTGAGTCATGAAAGTTGAATGAGAGAATACCTCACTTGCAGATCTCGTATAAAGTGAGTGTCTTCTTCTTTCTAAGGATAACATTATATATATGTTACAATATATTGTCAACTTTGCTTCTATTACCTCTAATCTGGTGGTTATATGTGTGACTAATAATCACCTCTATGTCCAAGCACTGTAAGTAAGTAGCACCAAGACTCAAACAGTTGAATAAAAAAATAAAAAAATAAAATCCATATGGATTCTGTGGAATACAGTCCAAACAGTGTTTAACACTAACTGATACATTTCCATGTGATACAGTTTTTATTAACAAAACAGAAAGAAGAATAAAGGCACATGCAGTGAGTTTGGCTGGCTGAGCAAGCTTTCATTTCCATCTTCAATCTTCTCATTATTTGTTCTTGGCTGCCAGTGGTTTGCGGCTGATCTTCTTACTCTTATCATTGCTCTTTTTTGGAGGTTCTGGGTTGGCCTGCATGTGTCTGCCATAGAGACTAAGGGGGAGAAGAGAGACAAGTTATTTCAGTATGCACAGAAAACTATTAGTAACTACTAGATAACTATAGTTTTCAAACACCTGCACTAGGTTTTTTTCTGTATAGCTATGTCACAGAGGAACATAGACTTATAAAAGACTCCCTAGCGGTCCATGAGCCTACAGTGTTCAAGACATACCACAGTGCAAAAGTGAGACGAATGATATAAAGATGATCTTTCTATTCAAAGTTATTAGCAGTACAGAGCAAATTTTGTGGAATTTGTTCTGTAGGCTTTAAGTTGATCTAATTCTGAAAAAAAATTGACAAAAGGAACACATCTTGTGTCACTGATGAGCCATTAGACCCTGGGTATAAAAAAAAAAAATGCTTCCAGTGATCTAAATTACTAAAATACTAAATTAAAAATCAAACATCCATAGAAAATTCTCACACCACTCATACAGTTCTCTTCTATGCTTTTCATCCTTTCGTACAGTATGTTCCAAACACTCGCAAACAGCCGCTTTTGTTTGAATTTTAACGAACAACTTTCTCAAGGGCATTGCAGCAAGTCTGACAAACAGCATAGCCATGGCTCTTAAAGGGGAACTTGACAACTTT